TTCAACTGTTAAAAAATTGTTAACCAATTTAGTTTTTGATACTTTCCTATTGGGTGTTTAAGACAATACAGGTGGTCAAAACTAACCATTTTCCCTTTTCACAATCAACACTAGTTGAGGGAATGGGCTTCAAGACTTCCTTGAGACCAGAGGAGCCTCTGGCTCCTTTAGTTTTTCTTTTCCAGTTGTGCCATCAGTTAGGATGATTCAGAGTATTGCTGACCATGTAGTTTCCTTTCAAGCATTAAGGACATTTTTCTTTATGATGACTATCCTCTGTAAAATGTACACTGGCCAGAGTCCAACCTGTGGGTCTCCATGGCCTCTCTGATCAAGGGGATAGTTTACTTACCAGAATAATAGAGATCTTTGAGAGGGTTTCACGGTGCCCTGGGTCCTGGCTGACCTTCTATATTAATTACTTTTCTATTGCTGTGACAAAGCACCATGATCAAGGCAACTTACAGAAGGAAGAATTTCTTGGTTTTAAGTTCCAGAGGGATGAGTCCATTACAACAGGAGGCAGCTAGAGCAGAAAGCTGAGCACTCACATCTTCAAGCAGGCAAAGGAAGCAGAGAGAGAAAAACCTGGAAATGGGATGTGGCTATCTACTCTGAAATCCTGCCCGCAGTGATGTGCTTCCTCCAGCATGGCCACACCTCCTAAAGGTTCCATGACCCTATCCAAACAGCATCATCAAATGGAGACCAATGGTTTAAATACTTAGAACCAACGGGAGACGCCTCATTCAGACCACAACCAGTGCCATGGAGTTGGTTTTTTTTTTTTTTTTTGGCTTAGTCTTAACTCCATCTCTTCTCTCGGGCTCACATCACGGTCTTCAGCAACATGGCCTTACCGACCTTTTCAGTGTACAACCAACATTAGTGGCAATAACCTTGGTGAATCTGAGAACATCTAAGATCTCTCTGTGATGAACAGCTCATAAGGGGGCAACCCACCCCTGGTACTGTAGATTTTAACAGTTGTATAGTTTGGGAGCCTCTGTTTTTATCTTATCCAACCATATAATGCCCAAGAATCTTACAACTACAGTCGGCCTTTGCTTCCTCAGGTATCTTTCAAATGGGTTTCACATCTGTAAAACACTTGAAGGTTAACATCATATACTAAATCATTCATAGACAATGTCTAACACTGCATGGAAAGATTTTATCCATTCGTATTAACTGTTTTCTGCATAGATCCTTGCTAGGTACCATAGCACGGGTACGAGGCATTAATTTGGTTAGCTCATTACCACATTTAGTTATCCCTTTGGAATCATTTCACATTTGTGGGATTTTACATGGAGTCTCTTTATATTCTTTTATCCTTGCTACAGTTACAGGTGTGTTGGCTCCAGTTGCATGACCCTGCACTGGGCTAAGGAGGCAGGGGGTTTCTCCCACCCCCACTGCACCTGTTGGTTCCCTGAGTCAGGCAGGCCCTGGGTCTGCCTCCTGACTGTAGCCATATCTGTTATCTCTCCATTGACCATACCTGACTGCTGGGAGCAGGCTTAGTAGGAAAAACTGCCTCCACCCTTAGTATAGCCTATATCAGAAGATAAATGCACCTTATTTAATCTTTGGGGATTCTTAACCATCCCTGGGACAGTTTTTATCCTTTGAATGTCTTTTGTAAACCATTGTTCTGGTTTTAAAGCCTTCCAGAAACTCTTTAGTACCAAATTTGGTTTTCTATCCATTTTTTCTCTGGGAATTTGGACTCAACATAAGTCTTGCCACATTTGTCTTCACGTAACCCAAACAGACCATTTCTTCCATCTGTTTTGGTTTTTTTTTTTAATATTGTTTTTTTTTTATATTGTTTTTTCTACATATTTTTTTTATATTGTTATTCTACAGACACATTTTACATGTTGGTCAGAGTCACTTAGATCTGCTAAAGGCTCTCTCACTTCACAAAGATCCTGTCCCATTAAAGGGCTTAGCAAAACCATTAAAGCTCCATGCCATTTTCGAGGTCCCAGTTGAATTAAGCTTTCCTTTACATCTCTGGTGAACACAGTCTTTTCTGACCCAGTGAACTGGGTTTCAAATGGAGATCAACTGTTTAAATACTTAGAGCCTATGGGGGATGCCTCATTCAAACCACACCCTGGAAAGCAAAGTCCATAATATTGGCTGTCCTTTTAGCGCCTCTGTACACACTGGCATAATTCTCCTGGAATTATTACTTAAATACCTTGTTTTAACTTTTATGTTAACATTCAGATAAATTGAAACTAAACAATTTTAAATATTTTTGCTAATATTTAGTTTTCCCAAACTCCTGACCAGAACAACTTGAGGATTTCTTTTGGCTTATGGAGTACAATTCAGTGTAGCAGGGAAGCATGGCGGGAGCAATGTGGTCCACATAGTGCCAACCAGGAAGCAGAGAAGAGAGACTGCTTTCTTTTGGCTTATGGAGTACAATTCAGTGTAGCAGGGAAGCATGGCAGGAGCAATGTGGTCCACATAGTGCCAACCAGGAAGCAGAGAAGAGAGACTGCCAGTGCTCTGCTTCTTTTTCCCTTTTTGCTTTTTACTCAGTTTGGGACCCAAATTCATGACATGGCGCCACCCACATTCACGGTGGGGCTTCCCTCCTCAGTTAAACAGCCCTGGAAATCCTCTCACAGACGTGCCCAGAAGTGTGTCTAAGTGCTTCTAAATCCACTTTAGATGATGATTAACTTTCACAAGTATACTCCTTGTCAACTTGACACCAAAAAACCACTTTGCTTTTAAAGCAATAGTCCACGTTTCATTCTCAAAGGCTTATGGCCACTTCCAAATGCATTTGGTTTATTTTTAAGAGTCCTAAAGTCTTAACAGTGCCAACATTATTCAAAAGCCCAAAATCTGTTCTAAGACTCAAGACAACCTCTTAATTTCAAGCCCTTGAATAAGTAGCACACTTCCAATCAGAATAAACATTCCCGTTCCAAAAGCAAGGAATGAAGACCCAGCAAGGAAAGGTCATGCCAAACTGAAAACCAGCATGACAAACATGTAATCCTTTGGCTCCATGACCACCATTTTGGGATCTGGTGGCATTATATGGGACCCAGCAGCCTCAGCTCTTCCCCACCAGCTCCTTCACCTGCAGCACACATCCTTTCATGGGCTGGCTCCAGGCAGTGCCAGTAGCTTTACTTGGAGACTGTCCCCAATACCCTAAGATCACCACTGCAATGCATGTTCATCTTCATGGTTTCATAGACATCCTACTCAAGAGCTCCATGCAGGAAATACAATCTTGATACTTGTTGCCTGTCTTTGGTGGCTTTCTAGAACCTTGGTGAAAGCCTCCATGAACCTCTCAATCTTTTATCTTGCATTCCTATAAAACCCAACACTATGTGTGTAAACACCAAGGTTCTGCTGCTAGTGTAAGATGTGGCCCAGCACCTTGGAGCACAGCTGCAGCATCCTTTGTGCGCCTTCAAGGCTAACCCTAAAAAAACACTTCCCTAGGTGGCAGTTTTCCAGCAGGGTATCCGGAAGCCTCTATCTTTTCAGTCACTCTTCAAATAAGCTTTTCAAGAGTTTGCATTGTTACGCCTTGTTGTTCTTAGTAAGAGAACAATTTCTATCAACTCTCCCAGTGCAAAGTCTGTGATCTCTCTTTAAGGTTGCTAATCTCTCTTAACAGTTAGAAAATTTTTTCCATATCCTCACCTGTAAACTTGAACTGCATTCACATTCCTTTCCTCACCACACTGCAAACTTTTCATATTTTCCTACTTTGAAATCTTAGTATAAATGCCAATAAATATGATATACAATAACCATACCAAAACCTGCACATTATGCCATCTTGAAATATCTTCTACCAAACAACACAGTTATCTTTGAGGACAGTCTCACTAAATTTATGGAGTCACAGGCAGAATGCAGTCAGGTTCTTTACCATAATATAACATGAAGGGCCAACTAACCCAATTCTTGAGTCTTTAATTTTCCTCTGAAACCTTGTAAGCACAGGCTTTACACTTCCCTTTCTATAGACATTCTGGTCTTCCACACTGTCAGAATGAATGGCCTGTTACATTCTGCTTACAGCATCCTAGGGCTTCTTAAATCTACAGCTCCAAATGGTCCACACACCTGCTACAAACCAGTTCCAGAGGCCTATATACCTCATGGCCAGGTTTACTGCAGCATAACCACGCTTGTCAGTTCCAATTTTTTTGTATTACTTTTCTCTTTGCTGTGGCCAAATACCTGGCAACAGGCCCCTTAAAGCAGGGTTTATTTTGGTTCACAGTACAGATGAATGCAGTCCATCACAATGAAGAAGATATGGCCTTGGGAGCTGCCTGGTCCACAACATCAACCAAAAGGAAGAGAAAGGGGAATGCTAATGTTCTGTTGTTGTTGGGTTTTTTTCCTTTTTTTCAGTTTGGGACTCCAGCACATGGGATGGTGCTACCCATATTCAGCATGAATCTTTTATCCTGCTAAACTTCTCTGGAGTTGTATCAGCTGCTGCTGAAGCTTAATCATCACACTACCTTAATGGTCTTACCTAGCATTGATCACCTCTGAAAGGCCCTACCTGTACACACATAGTGGACTGCTTCCATCCTCTAAAAGCTCAAACTAGAACAAATCAGGTGACAAATTCAAACTCTATCTCAATCATAACACTTGGTCAGCAAATAGTACAACTTTAAATGTTCACAGTGAGTGGTCAGAATAGTGGCTTTGATTCATTGGGGGGGCAAGGAAAATTTAGTTTTGCTAGATGAAAGTGACAGACTTCCTTCAATATGTGACAAACAGGATGGAAGAATCAGAGGACTGCTCATGCATACTTCAAAACCAAATGCAAAAATAAATCAAACTCATTTTCCTAAACTCTAAAGTATTTAAATACGTCCCTTCAATACACTTCAGTAAAACAGGAGCATTTACTTAACAGAGGATGATGATTAATAATTCACAAAGAAATAATTATTTAAAAATCACAAGTAAGACATGAGTAGGTAAAGGTAGTTTATTGTACCCACAGTACCTCAAATATAAACAGTACATAAAAGCTGATTCTGAGAAGTACTTAGAATTGCTGACTGGGTCAGAACATCATGCCTTCCAACCCATCTTCCATGAACTTCTTATAAACTGCCATAAATTTAGCCACAAATGCTTCCAAATGATAAATGGCTTTGCTACCCAGCTGTAGTCGGTGTTCATAATAAGCTGCCATCTGCGCCACTTCCCCTTTCAGCTGTCCATCACAATTATGTAAGAGCTCTGAGAGCAGGCCCTACAGAAAAAATTGTAAATTAGGAAGCAATCGTGGAAACATTTTAGCCAAACATATTTTATTTCTCTCACAAAATGTAAAACATGCTTATGTATGCATATATATGTATATATAAATGTCTATACATGTATGAATATATACATATATATATGAATGTGTATATATATATATATATATATGTGTGAGAGAGAGAAAGATCTTTAATATTTTATGTGGACCTGTAGAATTCAACAGAACCAAATAATTTCAAAAATCTTCTGTAACGTAAAAGTGTGGTGCTTATCCAACCACATTTCAAATTCTAAATACACAAAGCCCCTTACTAACAATAGTGCAATATTCTCTTAAGACACTGGGGCAGGTGAGGAAACATTCAGTCAGCCACAGAATCTTGACAGCAAATGATCAACATTCTACAGCAATCTGTGTTATTAACCTATGCTGTTCAATACGTAAGTTGGCTATGTTAAATGCTTTTCTTTTTTTCAGGCAAAGTCTCACTGTATTGCCCAGGCTGGTGTGCTCATGTGATCCTCCTGCCTCATCCTTCCAAGTATTTGAAATTACAGGTGTGAGCCACCAAACATGGTGACAGCATTTTGACTTACAGCACCTTCAACTTATGATGGGGTTGTCAGGATACAACCCCATTGTAAGCTGAGAGCAGCTGAATTTAATTGCACAAGAGTGTAAGGATACAAGAATAAGGACCATGAGTATAAAGATTATCACTGCACGTGATTTACAATAACCTACAGACAATCTAAAGATTCGCCAATAAATGTCATATTGAAGAAACTAACACAGACATACAACAGGGTATTATCTATCTCATATTGTTAAACGTACAGTACTGACAGGTTTTAAACACTAAACACATATAATACACTTATTTCTATGTGAAAAGAACAGAGGTCTGCCACAACTATTAACTCATGTATATAAAAGGAGAACTTTGCTTTTTTTATTTGGTATTGATTCTTTCCACATTACTGTGCAATTTTAATAGAAACAAAACCCCCTGAATTCCCTAAAATTTAGCCATCAAGAAATTTAACTAAACAGTCAGCAGACCAATCCTACAAAGTCTAGACTGTGCCTACCTCTTCAACCTCATTCCCCACATGTGCTGTCTGGTCTGAAATGTCTGTTCCCCAGCCATTTATGGGGGTCTCTCCTCTAACTCTGAGTGCCAGCTTGGACATGAGAAGGTACCAATGGCCACTCCCAGCCCTGCTCTCCATTACTATTATTTCATTTTCCTCTGAAGCACTTAGAAGGTTCTGAAACCTATTACTTTTTACTTGTCTCCCATTTCACTCCATAAGATAGCTTCCCTCACAGATGTCTTCCCCTCCCTTAGTGATCCCCTAATGGGGTCTGAAACCAGCAGAGACTGAATAAATATCTGGAAACTAATAAAATGGAAGCGATGACAATGTATCTTAGTATTATAAAAGCCCTGTGACCACACAGCTAGTGTCCACACTTTATGGTTATGAACAGCTCAAAATTGAAAATCAGTTACCTCACCTTCATTATCATCTCAGGAGGAATACAGTGAGTTAGAAGCTCATAGAGCCTTCCACGAACTTCAAGGAGCCTATAAAAACAAAATAATTGCCATTTTGTAATGGAAGGAGCAATTGTAATAAATTATTAAATATAGGTCAATTGTCTTAGCTTATCACATTAGGAAGCACACACAGAACCTTCTTCTGATCTATGCTTCACCAGTGTGCCACATGCCATCCCCAGTCCACCCTATCACCAATTTTTTTTTTTTTGACAGTGTCTACCTGTGATCACAGCTGGCCTGGAACTCACTATGTAGACTAGGCTGGCTGAAATCTTACAGAGATACACCTGCCTCTGCCTCCTGAGTGCTGGGATTAAAGGTTCATGCTACCAAGCCAGGCTTATTTTTGATTTCTCTCTTCAGAATCAATGTCATTCTATAACCCTGGTGGCCTGGATCTCAGTATGCAGCACCTGCTGGCTTTGAACTTATAGCAATCCTCTTGCCTCAGTACACAGATAATCTACCATGCCAAGTACCAGCCTTTGTAAAGTTATTTTCCATACTTCTTTGAAACCTGAGTTCAATCTCTAGAACTCAGTGTGGAGGGAAAGACCTGACTCCCAAAAGTTGCCCTCTGACCCCTACATGCTCACCATGGCATGTGTGTACACACACACACACACACACACACACACACACACACACAGTAATAAATGATTTAAAAAAAAAAGATCATGACTTCATGAAATGTAAGACTTGAGCTCATTCACACTATGGAATTGAATATACTTACCTTAATAACATATCAAGTAATACGCCTCCCCCTATAGGCTCACATATTTAAACACTTGGTCCCCAAGGGGTGGTACTGTTTGGGGAGTAGTCTTGCTGGAGGAAGCACATCACTGGGGGCAGGCTTTCCCCCTTCCTGCTTCCTCTCCCTTCCTCCAGCAAGTGGATGAATATGTGGCCAGCCAGCTTTCTGCTTCTGCTGCCTGTTGCCATGCCCTCCCCACCCTAGATGGACTCTGCCTCTGGAACCATAAGCCAAATAAACCCTGCCTTCTCTAAGTTGCTTCTGGTCATGGTATTTCATCATAGCAATAGAAAAGGAATTATTATGGTGCATAAATTATAAAATTATCACTATTCTGAGACAGATCAAGAAACAAGACAAATATTACATTAAGAGGTCACAAACCAATAATCATTTGCATAGGAAATGATCAAAATGATCACCCTTGCATATTTTCTGCTCAGCCCCAAGAATTTCTGAAAGTGGGTGAATTTTCTTTTTATGAAGCACAAAGGAATCAACATCCACAATGCTTATTTTAAACAGGGAACAGCCACAACTCATCTCCATGAGCTGGCAAAACCCGTTAGGAAAACTGTAAGATTGGGTAGTAGTTACTAGCAGAATTAAGCAAAGCAATAACCAAAGTACACCTGATGGCTTAGTGGTTAATGCACTGGCTGCCATTGCAGAGGACCCAGGTTCAGTTCCCATCACCCACATGACAGCTAACAACTGTAAGTAACTCCAGTTCCAGGCGATCCAACACCCTCTTCTGACCCCCATGGGCATTGCATGTACATGATGAAACACATAAAACAAAAAATTTTTTTTAAAAATACACCTGATAATTATCAAATATGACAACATTCATACCCAAACTCCTGAAAAGCAGCAAAGGTTATCATTTTTTCTTCTTTAAAATCAACAAATACAAGATAGTCATCTTTGGTATGGAAATATTAATAGATGTATAAGGTTCCTAAGCTATTCTTTGATCTTTATGTTAAGGCTAAATTTCTCCACTGTTGATTTCAGCATTTCACAGAATGAAATGTGCTTTTCCGTAAAGACAAGGTTCCTCTCTTGATGAGGCTACAGATAGCATCTGGCTGTTTCTGAAAACCACTGATTTCTCCAACTAGAATAACTGAATTATGAGAATTCTAAGCAAACCTTGATGAAATACTAAGTACCCACAATCTGTCACTAACCACTTCCACTAATTTATATGGCAGCCAAAGAATAATGTTATAATCCATTTGAAGAACCCCTTAATATAAATACATAAATGATAATTCATCAGCTATATCAACCAGGAAAAGAGAATATATTCTTTCCTCTCACCATTACTTTCATCTAAACCAGGGAAACGAGTTCTAGTGGCTGTTCTCGGTCTGTCTTGTTCCCAACATAATCAACTCCATTTGAGGCCCAAAGGTGGCTTCTCAGTTATGACAGGCTACAAGGATGAAGCTGTGCTTCAGTGAGCCTGAGGAACTGCCACACTTTGAAATGGCAGTGGGACCTCAAAACTGTTCAAATTTATTCAGAGAAATCAGACTTTCTCAATTAAGCTGTCATGTATCAAGCAACTAGTGTTTGAGATATTTTCAGTGTGGTCTACCACTGAATAATAGATTCACAGAAATAAATGGGATTAACTTTATAGAATATGTGCCAAATAATGCTTTTTAAGAATCTTAGACTCCATCCTGAGCCAGCAGCAGTGTTTTCTAGTTCTAAAGCCATTATCTCACAACCTCTTCTGCTCTCTATAACAAAGGCCAAGTATCTTTATCAGTGTAACAAAAAAAGCATCATCATTATACAAATGGAAAAGCTCAGACTCCATAATGAAGCTACCTGCTCAGGGACATTTAACTAAATTAGGAAAGTAGGATAATAACTAGAAGCTGGTGTCTTTCCAGCACATTTTGCAACAGTTATAAAGATACTGTTCTTTTCAGTATGAGAAAGTTAGATATACTGTTACGTATTAATATTAAGTCACCTAGTATTCTGAAAAGAATATGAAACAGCCCAAGATTCATTTTATGAATAAATTCCAAAGTTACATGTGAGCAGCTTAAGAAAAAAGTATAATACTACATACTATTTTGGACTATTGTATTTCAGAAATTAAATCTTATTTTTTCTCTTTTAAATGTTTCAACACTTAGGTTCAAGAGTGAATTAGACTCCTAAATGTCTTGGAGTTAGGCTACAACAGCCACCACTTGCCCCATGCTGGTCAAGTCTTAGCATCACCTACTGCTTACCGCTGAGGCGTCTGCTGACTGACAATAGCATTTGCAGTCTCCCTCAGATACACCTCCCAGTCTGTCTCAGGGATCTCTTGCTCTTCTGTAAATGGATATCTATGGGACAAAAAGAGAACAAAACACCAACAGTATGCTTCTGTCCCAAGTGTTTCCTGTGGGAACTGGGCCCCCACTCACTCACTGTTGCACTCTGCAAGCTTCACACATGAGTAAGGCTTTTCTCAGATTTCTGCAGGACTTCTCTGCAAGTCTCTGAGCCAGCTGCGAAGGAAGACTCAGACCTTCCTTCTTGCACACAGTAGATAACACATTGCAAATCTAAAAACCAAATAACAAAAAAAGTATAGTGAGTCAATGTCTAATTTCGGTTAATATCTTTATAGAGCTCTTTAAAGAACCCTTTTACGGTGCTGTTCCCCGAACAGCACTTTATCATTTTGCCTCCCATGCAATGTCACATAATTCTGTGTTGTATACAACTGTCCATAACCAATTAAGAGCAGGAAAGCTGTTCACTGTGAGACACGATTATTTTTTATTGACAGCTGTTAAAGATTGAAAACCAAAACAGTGTGTTGATTTCCCTGCCCAGGGACTAGACACTCTCGCCTCATCTACTAGCCAGATCTAGTTCCTCTATACTTAAGTTTTTTCCTATAACCAGGCAAATCAGCTTGAGGTAGAAGACACTAAATAATTAACTAGCTTTTATGCAGTTTGGTGAATGCCTAATACCCATTTGTTAAAAGTAAAAGATGGTTTAAAAAGAACAAAATGTTCTATGTATTGGTATTGATTATTTACTATTAAATACACTGCGCATGTACAAATGGCTTGCATTTGGGTCTGTCCATAGTTGTTCTTAAATGACTGACATGCCTCACTATGTTTTCACAAAACACAAACATGTCAAGGATATATACACAGATCAGATAATGTGAGCTGAGACTTACTAGAAAGTCTAACTTGACTTACATCTTCAATGGTGGGAGCAGGCACACGAACTGCAAGGCACCTACTACGAATCGGTGGTATCACTTTAGATGTAGAATTGCAGCACAAGATCAGTCTGCAGGTGGACATATACTTTTCCATGGTTCTGCGCAAGGCATGCTGAGCATCTTTTGTGAGTTTGTCAACTTCTGTCAACAGCACCACTGAGTCAAACAGAAACAAAACAAGCTTGAGCTTCAGGTCATTCAAGCCTTAACTTGTTGCCTTTACTTTGTCCTCATCATTCAGCATGAAATCCTAAATAATAAGTCTAACATTCTACCTTTCCTTCTGGCAAGGGCAACTTAGATTTATAGACATGGTAAGAATATTTTATTTGTATTTTTAAAAAATTTAGAATTGTACAAGACTAAGACTCCTTGGGGTAAAATGAAGTTAAATTCATTATTTTTCAGCAATCATTCCAGTCTTTATTTATAACCACTAAAGTTACCAAGATGAGGATGTGCTGGCTACGCCTTGGAGTCTAAGGACTATATTGATAGCTTGGAAATCACTGCTGCAAGAGATACAACCAAAGTACACTCAACAGATGTCTGAAGGCATGTCCAGGAGGGTCCCATCTGCCTAGACTGTCTAGGACCAGTCTTAAAGTGGTTCAGTAATGGTATATAGGTAGGGAATGAATTCAACTTTTGTATTTTTCATTATATTAACAAGCCATTTCTGAAAGATGGTAAACAGCAGGGTACCATTTAAATTTCCCCGTAAAGGCAGAATAACTAAAGATTCTAAGAACATTTACATTTAATGCTATCCAAGTTTTACCTGACATTTCCAAATGTGAGCAAGTAAGGACAAGCAACAACTGCAAAGACACACAGCAGCAGCGCTTGAGTGAGGGAGAAGCCAGAATTAACTCTACTTCTAACAGCTGTTAGAAAAGGAAAACCGCAGACTGTCCCCAGGAGCATGCTGGAGATCACCATGAGCCCCTCTGAAAACAGCCTCTAACTCTGGAGCAGACCCCACAGGGCTCAACCTATGCCTGAGAACAAGGGAACCCGACACGGTAAAGCTCGAGAAGCAGCTGAGAATGAAAACAAATGAAGCTCCCTTCTATGAAGCTCCAAGAGAGCAGTGGTGACAGACCCAAATGAACAGAACAGGAAAAAGGGGACAACGCAAAAAAGTTAGCAGCCAGACCTCAAGGCATCAACACGGCATATCTTCACTGCTCCATGAAAAGAAAGCAAGGGAAACTAAAGCCCCGACCATCGCTGTCCTTCTTTCAAAGAATACAAGAAAACTTGCTGTTCTTTCATTGTTTGTATGTTTGCTTTTCTATTAGAAAAGGATCACATTGAATTCAAGCAGCTATAAGAAAAATTACTTTTTATATAACCACAGATTTAATGTAAGAACATGTTAATTTAAACTAGGGTGTTAGAAACTGTTGCTGACCCCATAGTCCCAGCAGCTGAGGAATAGTAATCACCTGTTCCAGGCTAACCTGGGCTACACAGTGAGGCTCTGTCTCAAACAAACAGTAAATAAAGTTTTAGAATTGCAAGTGGGTATCATTAATTTTGGTTAAAATGTAAAACTTTAGTGCATATCTTAAAATAACAGATCTTCAACATATTT